AATATTTAATTTAATGTTAAAATTAGCAATTACAATTTATGTTTTGCTATTGAAAACGAAAAGTGATATTTTAAATATTTAATTTAATGTTAAAATTAGCAATTATAATTTATGTTAGTATAAATATTGATTAACATACTTCAGATTTGGATAAAAAATTATAATATTATATTGTCGAAATATAAAAAATGCGTTATAATACTTGACACCCTATCATAGAAGTCCATTATACATGAGGAAGGATACACCAAAATATTTCCATGATTTAACACAGTCATTGCATCTTTTTAACATCTTATACGAAAATTTTTTTTCATAAAATCAAGAACCAATGGTCATTTTAAAACTCTTTAACTATTGAACATTAGAGAAATCTCAGAAGATATGATCTTGAGATGACCTTCAATCTCATAACCTAATTTCCCCCCTAAAAGACACTAACTATCTCCCGAACCATTTTTTTGTACCGTGACAAATAAGAGAATAATTAAGGGTGGCAGAGTTAGGTGAAACACCCTGTATATTTGCTTACTTATTCATAATAATTTTGTTTAAATTGTGCTAACAGTATTAGCCTAATACATAGTAATCTAAAGATTGAGATCTGTAGAATTCTGTACAATCATTAGAAAAATAAGTTCTATAACTGTTTTGCAGAGATGGGCAAACTCATCATCTAGATAAAAAGTTTCGAATAACGAATAAAAGATAAAAAAATATTTCGTCATTTTTAATTATTTAAACGTGGAAATTTCAATTTTTAAAATAAAATAGTACTTCTTTATGAATGAATCGACATTTGTCGAACAATTAGTTAATTTCATTAACTGTTTAATGCTCAGGACGACACCCTTAGATATTCCTGTTTTTCACTATGTATTATTCAAATAAAATTCTGCCCAACTCTGCCGTTTTTTAACTTATATAGAACCTAAGAAATAACAGTTATAGAACTGATATTGGAGTTGATATAAGAACTTTAAAGAAAACTGATATAGTCTGAAATTTAGGTTCTCCGTAACAGTTATTCAGAACAAAGATTCTTCATAACTGTTTCGAGAACCTAAATCGATATCATAACAGTTTTCAAGCCTTGGTTTTCAATGACACACAGAAAAGCCAATAGGAAGCTGGACCGTAGCCGCGGAGACTGCAGAGAGCGTGGCTGACATTGGTCACCATCTTTGTTTCTCTTCGGTATCCGCGATTACAACGGTGAAAGTTAACGACGCGGCCACGGTGCATCCCCAAGGTCATCCGTGAAGAATCGACTAGCCGCTGTGTGTATATACATTAAATACTTTCTGAAATTCGGATAGTGGGCTCGTCGAGTGATGATTCCCGCGATTTTACTTTCTACGGTGGCCATGGGAATTATGGAAGTTCGATCAGGTTAGGTTATGTAACGGCACGAGTCGCCATGTGTCTATCAAATTCGGATTTGTGTTTGTAGTTTACGAACATCTGCGACGGGATAACATATTTCATCGATTGTGTAATTGCAAAAAGTTGTTCGATATACAAGGTGGTCCCAATAGAAACTGGCCGTTTTGGTATCTTTTGTTGTATCCATGTTAATGAAAAATGAATGGTTAGTAGGAGGCAAAGACGAAACACAGTTGGTCACGAAAGTGTTCGGCCATGTTCCAGATAGAACATGACGCCTTGAAGACGGCTTAAAGACACCTTAGACCTAAAACAGTCGTAAAATGGGCGTCTTTAAGGCGTCAAATGCTATCTGGGTTTAAAGTAAAAATCACGAAGCCTCGGCTAAAACCTACACATGACAGAATGACGTTATTTCTTAGGAGAAAACTGTGTCAAATTGACACAAGGAATGAATGAGGGTTAAGTGTAATGACCCCCCGAAAATCATTTTTAATTGTGAAAGCGCAAAAAAATTTTATACGTAATTTGAATGGTAATAAGTGGTCAGTATCCTGCAGGCGTTATTTTTTTCTCGAAGTTTTCAATGGCACAGATGTTTTTTTTTTTCAAATAACTACATATTTTTTTCTATGATATCTCGTAGCTCATAAAAAAATGACCTTGAATAAAAAACAATGTTTTACGGTATCATAAAATCCTCTTCCATAATGTTCTAATGCATCAACATATTAAATAAACTCTTTTCCTATTTTTTTTGCAATTGATGTTATTTTGATTTAAGGGTGGTTTACCCCCTCTTGAAACATTCGAGAAAGATAGAAAAAGAGTTTATTTGATATTTTAATGCATTAGAATATCATGCAAGAGCATGTTATTAAAATGTAGCATTAAAATATGTTTTGGTATTAAAAATTACATAAGAGTGTTTTGTGACATGGAAGTGTGTTTTACCTTGAAAATACATATATTACATAAAGTTTACATGAAACATGGTAACTTTAATGGATAATAACGATAAGAACATAAAAGAAGTAAAAGAACATAATTTTCTGTAATAATTTGGCTTGTGACGTTTGAAGGGGTGATTGGCCCAAGAAGTAAGTTTAGTCCCCAATAACACGAAAAATAATTATTGTTTAATTCTTGATAACCTCACAGAAAACGTATTCTTTCTTTAATACATGTCAAACAAACCTTCTTTGTTGGGGTGAAGAAAACTTCAACATAGGGTAGTTTGCCCATACAAAACAAACCCTTTCCGAAAAATTATAATTCCTTGTGAGATTTCGTATGCCAAAAAATATTTTATACCCACTAAAACTCAAAAAAATTCAATATGTTTATAAAAAATTCCAATTACTCCTGTTACACGTTAAATCTTTGCGGATTCCACCACTTTAAACCGAATATCCGAAGGTATAAAAAAAAACACGTGACGCTTAGTATTTTGAATACTATGACATACGTGCAAAAAACATCAAAGGGGGACACCTACCTAGGATTGCTTGTAAATCACAATTTATTGTATTTATTTTTTATCTCTGCTTGTATTACACACAGTAAATCCATTAGAATCTATTTACTCGTTGATTACAATTCCCCTCGCCTCCAACGAGACATTATATCGTTTCGGAAGATTCACGCGTTTACTGTTGCTGTAAGTCATGAATTATTCATGATTCCGTATCGTTTCGATGGGTCCTCAATGGACTATGGTTCCACGGACACGCACATACGATAAAATGGATGGAATTCGCATGTTAGGCTTGAAAAGGGAAAAGCTTAAAGATAATATTAACAATTGAAAAGAAAATGTACCACATCAGATATTTGCGATTTTCTATGAGTATAATATTTACAGTTACGAAGAAATAAAATTAAATGTGGAATGCAATAGCAGAAGCGTTAATTCTGGGTCGACCGTCGATTATCGAGTTCTCTCTAACAAATGCGCGGGAAAAACGTAATTATCCGCAAGTGTCCTCGCGGAGACGCAGCATTGTTTCTGCGAAGTTACTACTTTTTTCCGAGTATCTTTCCAGCTGTCTTATTCGCTATCTTTTAACATGTAAATTTAATAGTTCTTGGTGTTTCTAATGGACGGTTAAAAGACAAGCGAAATTAATGCGGCTGGGCGTATGGTGAATTTACATTTAGTGAATTAAAACATCGATTTACAGCACAATGAAATGGAAATTCCGGTGAATATGACTAGAATATTCGAGAATTTTGATTTAGACTTCGAATAAGCGTAAGTAAAATTTATTTAAATTAGACATAAATAAATTTCATTTTCTTTGATTTTAGTTAATGTGGAATAATCGAAAAAATTTGCGGGAAAGAGCGTCAGTAAATAATGATCGGAGTAATTGATTACCGTCGAAGCCGATGACTGGGTCAATGGTGACCCACAACAATATTTCATACAAATGTTATAATTATGTGAGTCCCTTCGTAGGCCGAAATGACTAACTCTACTTTTTGAATTTTTTTCAAATTTTTAATATTAAAGGACTCGATTATTGTTTAAATTTTTATATTTTTGTATAGAGTTATTTGTCTTAGCAAACGAACGGATCGTATACAAGGCGCTATTTGAAAGGAAAAAATCAGCTGACTGGGTTTATCGACGGGCCACCGATGACCCAGTCATGGGAAACCACAGACTAAATTGCTAGCTCCACAGGGCTTTTTTTACAACCACAGCGTTTCATTTAGTTAATAAATACACGTTAACAAAATTCACCCGCAAAGTCATCGTGTACCGTGAACTGTGGTAAACTTGTAACATTCGAACTGTTCGAATCATTTGGAACGTTCAAATCGTTTGAACCGTTTGAAATCGTCGAACTGTTCGAAATGTTTGAAACGTTCGATCTGTTTGAATCGTTTGAAACGTTCGAAACGTTAAAAATGACCGAACTCTGTTCGGACTATTCGAACGTCTTATGTTTAAAAATGTTCAAATATGTTTGGACTGTTCGTCCACGAACCCATTACTAATCATTTGGAACATCTAAAACGATTGAACTGTTTGAAACGTTTGAAACTACCAGACACTGTTCGAGCTGTTTGAATATCCTGAGTATGAGAATATCCAGACATGTTTGGACCGTTTATTTATATAACTGGTCATTAATATCCCGACACACTACAACTCTATTCGAACTATTTGAACATCCTGTGTTTAAAAATGTCCAAACATGTTTGGACCGTTTGTTCGCAGACTCATCACTAATATCGTGACACTATACAACTATCTTCGAACTATTTGAACGTCCCGTATTTGGAAATGTCCAAACTTGTTTGACCTGTTCTGTTCACCGATTCATTATTATCGTGACATTATACAGAAAATCAAAGATGGCGCATCGATCTTCGAAGCAACGCATCTCTAATACCCTATTCCCAACAGTTCTCGGGACGAAGATGAGCGTGAAGAATCGGAATCATGATCGCCCAATTATTAGACTGATTATGAGTAAGGTCGAGCGCCGAGGAGAGATGGGTCCTCGGCGGCCCCCGAGCGGGTCTCGACCGGCCACCTGGTGGGGACCATTTCTATATAATCGACGATGGAGGCGCCCGTCTCTTCATACACCTATCAGTAATCACGTTCCTTTCGCTGTCGTACATTCTTCCTTCGAACCACACACGTTTCGGGAGTTATAACAAAAAAAAAAACACAGAAAACAAGTGAGACAAGGTGAGTGACGTATATAACTGTACCTGGTGCCATTTTTTTGGTCCCCGTTTCGAAAACATCCTCGAGAATCGGAATTTTTCCAGTGCTAACCCGGAAAAAAAGTGAAATTGGTAACTGTTGTAGAATCTCGGTTGTGTCGAGTATATGGGACGTTCGGAACATAAGGCGTAACTTTTGAACTAATCGATTTTCGGCCTAAGTACCCTAATACTTTTTTAAAGGGAATGGCAAATATGTATTAATTGGTGAATAAAAAAATATCCAATTCTATTCGAAAAAATTCAGGTGATTTTGAGTTTTTATTGAATAAAAAGTTTCTTAGCAATATTTACTGGTGCAATTTGTTGTCGACTGAATACTGACTAACTTTTGTTCGAAACATTTTTTTGTCAAATTAATTATAACTACTATAATACATCGTTATCTGAGTCAGAACAAAAATCAGTGTTAGTATCTGACGATTGAATATATGATTGATTATTATAATTCTTTACATCTCTGTATTCATATATTTTTATTTTTTTTATACTATGGTATGGTTGGACCTAACTGTATAATACATCTGTTTAATAAGGGGTCCTATGGCATGAGCTAAAGTGTTAATAACGATTCAATTTTTTCCGTTTCCGGCCAACTTGGGCTGCTGAACTTGATTTTAATGCAAAGTTTATTATCTACTAAATTGAACAAAGTTGTTTTTTTAAAGCCTCTTCAAAATTGTTAAATATTATCCATAAAAATTAAGATAATTTGTTACTATTTTGGTAAATATGACTCACTAATAATAAACTCAATTTATAAGGACCAAACTAAATGCATAAATAATTACTAAATAGCAAGTGGACAAAAAAATAAACAGATTTTCACAATAAACCTTACGTTCCAATTGCAACAACAACTTGGTATATTGAATAAAAATTTTAAGTAATACTATAAACAACATTTTGTTACTAACATTTTAGGACAGAAAAATTTATAGATCTGGTAGTTTGATTTTTTTACACTTGTCCATTGGGCAACACACTATGCGACGGAATGATCGAACGATATTTTCGTTTAACACTTTAACAACCCCAACCCGCAAAAATTTCAAAACTTTCTTGTTTAACAATTACTAAAATCGTAAAGGTGTTTTCTTTTTTAGAAATTGTGTTGAGTTTTAATTTATTATACACTTTGCGATATAACTATATTATGTTAGATTGTATTATGTATAGGGTGATACAAAAACAGGGTTCATAACTTTTGGGATAGATAGTATTCACCAAAGATGAAAAAAAATTTTAATACACATGGATAGAAATTAATATTTTCAAACTTATAAACAATTTTTCGTTTCGGCTAAAACAACTGACTTTCTAGCTTCGAGCGCTATTGTACCGTGTGAAAACAAGGAAACTTTCTGTAACCAAGAAAAGAAGAAATGATAAGGTAATTCATTGTTTCGAAACAATTGGATTTTGCAAAAACAATTATGTATAACTTTGAAAATATTCATTTTTTGACCCATGTTTATTAGGACATGTATTTTCCAATATTTCATCATTTGGCAAACACTATTTACTTCAGAAATTATGAACCCTTTTTTTGTTTCACCCTGTATATTATACATGTGAATGTACAATTGGTCACAAAAGTATTCGGCCACCATAGACATTAAACGAATTCGCAATTATTACTGGACAATCAACTATTATTCAAAAATTTTTTCAATTAAGTCAGTAATACCTATCTATTGATCCATTAGGTATAAAGAACTGTCTTTTTCGTAGTGTCGATTTATTTCAAATATTGTACATCCAATACTAGATTCACATTCTAATACAATTAATACGTATTTTACATTTATTATACCGAATAGACCATTCAAAATCACCTACTTGAACAATAGAACTATAAAAAGGGGAATCAATTTTGAAAAGAAAAATTTGTTTAATCCAAAAATGGTCTAAAATGTCCGTCTCTTAAATTGGTTCTATTTATTTTACATACAACAAAATGTTTCCTTTCTGTTATAGTGTTTTTTAAAGATTGGTTCACCTAATATTTAACGTATTTTGTATTGATCACATAAAAAAATGTCTCTTCTACGTGTTGATTATTTTTATAAGATCCACTGTCTATTTCGTTTTGTAATTTCTTACGTAACAAAGTGTCCATTTAGCACGTCGGTGTTTAATTAAAATAGACCGAAGCTCGCTTAGAAGAACCATTAGTCTGGTCTCTAAAAGGCAGCGTCGGGATCGTTATAGATCGATCGCGGGGTCGATTTACGATGGAAAAAAATCCATTCGTAAGATGAACGATCCATAAAAAGTGCCATGAAAGTTCGATATACATATATCGACACTCCCTAGGAGAAACTCCCGTTGACTTAAGGAAACCGACGCGTCCGCAAATCGCGATCTTATCTGCGTCTGTTAGTTATTCACCGCTCGAGCTCTCACTAATTTTTTGCTGTCTAGATCGAAACTATTCTGTACAGTATTCTTCTACGATAACATTAACAGTAATTAACACAGATGTCGACCTTTTACTTCATTTTCTGTTAACCAATAAATAATAAAAATCTGTTTGATCGTTGCACTTGAAATTGTCGGCCGACACTTTATATTTTAATCCATTTCGATAGAATTTTTAATTTTTCTTGAAAAATTTCTTCAAGCTTTGAATAGTCAAGCAAAGATTCTTAATTTGGTGGTAAATTTGAGGACTGTAAATATAAATGTAGTAATGAATTTAAGAAATGTGGATAGAAATTTAATAATATAGGGAAAAGCCACTCACATTTCAACATTCTATTATACGAACCTTCTGCTATTCGGACGCTCTACTATCCGAACGTTCTACTATCCGAACATTTCTGTTATCCCAACGTGGAATTATCCGAAAGTTCTACTATGCGAACGACCTGTTCTCTAAACCTTCTATTAACCCAACGTTCTATTATGCGAACGTTCTACTATCCGAACATTTCTGTTACCCAAACGTTCTATTATCCGAACGTTCTACTATCCGAACGTTCTATTATGTGAACGTTCTACTATCTGAACGTTTCTGTTATTCAAACGTTCTACTATTTGAACGTTTCTGTTATTCAAACGTTCTGTTATCCCAACGTTATGTTATCCCAATGTTCTGTTATCCGAACGTTCTACTATGCCAACGATCTACTATCTTGGCGTTCTATTATTCGAACATTCAACTATCCTAACATTCTATTATTCGAACGTTCTATTATCCGAACGATCTATTGTCCGAGCGTTCTATAATCCGAATGTTCTATTGTCCGAACGTTTTATTGTCTGAACGTTCTGTTATCCGAGCATTCTATGATCCGAACAGAGTGTCTCCCGATAATAGATGCCATCTCCTATTACAAATATCTACTGCTTACATGCAATGTATACTTTCTTTTGTCTGATCGAACTCTACGTTTATGTTGAAAAATTTCTGTAATTTGTCAGCCAAAATAATACGGGATCCATAAATATTCAAGGAAAGTGTCAATTTTCTTGATATCTGTTTAAATAAAAGAAGTTTAGTATCATAAAAGTTGGTTCCTCTATTGTCTGAACACTTGCGTCTCTATTAGTTCGTATGTGGAAGGCTCTACTGTAAGTTAAACGAAAATATTAAAATTTGATTTGTCGTAGAAGATTAGAACTCTTGTATGGTAACTTTCGTAACTCACGGTACTAATTTATCGCTAACTACACTTCAAAGTAAATCTGGATAACGAGAAACACGCGATTTCATTTGAAGAAGCGTTATGGACGCTTTGTGTTGCATCAGCGTCATTGTGCTCGAAGGAAAAGGAGTTTATATCTTGGAAAGATAATCGAAAAGCAGCGTAACTCGATTTCTATAATCATCTTCATTAAAATATTATAGTGTTGTTCTAATACACAGAGTGGGCCAATAGTAACGATGTGAATTTGTATCACGTACATTTCCGTCCAAATGTATTGGAACACTTATCAAACTTGAAGAATAAAAAACAAAAGTATTGATAGTATCGAATACGTATTTTCTAGTGAAATTGTGACATCATAATAGCAAATACGAATATAAATGTAATGTCATAAGTGAGGCACAATATATACAGGGTGTTTCATAATATACAATATACAGTATTTTTTACCACCATAGAAAATACAACACTAAAGAAATTTTACAGACTAGTTGATGGAGAAATTATATTTTAGGAACATTATTTCAATTTATGGACTACAATTTATTTCCAAAGGTCTTAAAGTAAACAAAAATACTTTTCTTTTCAGATGATGTTGGTGCCACTGGCCGTGGTGCTGATCGCGGCGCTCGTCGTCGCTGAGCCCGCCATAAACGAAATTCGGCCCCAGAGCAACAGACCAGGAAGATTCCTCTCCCTCCCCGTGCCGCAGAAGTGTGCAAACCGTGAGTAGACTTTTCATTCCACGATTTCGACACTCCTTTCTCTCTCTTCCCCGTATTCACACGAGACTACAGAGCTACAAAGTGAAATCTCTACTGTCTCGAACATCAAGGTTTATATCTGAACATCACAATCAACGACTGATGAGCCCCTTTTACGTTCTTACAATTAACGTTTAATTAACCCAATATTAAGCAATAAAATATAGTAAGATTTTTTGTTATTTATAAAATTACATACCTAGCTGGAACAAGAAATAGTGTGGCGAAAAAATTATTAAGCAAATCCCCTTTCATAAAAGGGGATACCCTCTTTCAATAATTCAATTTAATTTATTAACAGGTATTCAACCTTTATAGTACAGTTACGTAAATATAGTAATAATGTAAATTGCTTGGAAAATATTTTGCATTAACGCAACATTGCTACAAGCCATTCACATTTCAACATTCTATTATCCGAACCTTCTGCTATCCGAACGCTCTACTATCCGAACGTTCTACTATCCGAATGTTCTACTATCCGAACGTTCTGCTATCCGAACATTTCTGCCACTTGAACGTTTTGTTATCCCAACGTTCTATTATCCGAACGTCCTACTATGCGAACATTCTACTATCCGAACATCCTGTTATGCAAACGTTCTATTAACTCAACGTTCTACTATCCGAACATTTCTCTTATCTGAACGTGTTAAAAACTTTTCTACAATTTCTATTTATATATTCTTCTTATTATTACTTTCATCATCCTTTTGTGTTCAATTTTTCTTAGTTTTGAAATAAAATTCCCATTTCGGTACATAATTTATTCAAATAGAAGTGACAGCCTTTCGTGAACAAACTTGTGAGTCACTGTATATACTCATAGAATCATAATTAACGATAACTAGGATTTTTTCCATCTTGTCCTACAACAAGTCCAAAGAAGATGCAACTGGTATTAATACAAGTATCTTGAAAAAATTGAATACACCAATCTGGAGTGTAAATTAAAAGAAATGTGAAACATTATTTTGAGGTGGCTGGTTGAGGATTCAAAAGAACACGAGTTCAAGTTCCTCTCACCAAATCCATCTTTTTCCAAGGTTTCTACATTACAGATGATGCAAAGACAAATAAATCCCTGTGTAGAAGGTGCAAAAACGCTCGTTAACCTGACCCACAACACCAAATCCAAAAGAGGCCAAACAGCCGATACCCTAAAATGTATATTGCTTTCCCTTTCGAAGTTCCATATTGACGACTGCTAGGTGACCGTTAGGAAACACTTGAGAAACTTTCGAACTCTAGTGTTTTTTTTTTTATCTGTTTGCGTTACATATATGAATTAGAACAGACTTGCCGAAAGGAATGGCCCTAGCGCCATTTAGTCCCCCACCGCTTGTAGTAGAGATAAAAGGATGTCTTGTAGGGGGACACAAAAGTAAGAGGAGTATTTCGTTAGCTCCACTTTCGATGTTTGTTATTTGCGTTTAGGAAGTGATATTGCGCGACGAGGAAAGTGAATGGGAGCACCGAAAGTGAGCGAAACAGAGCAACAGGAGCCAAAACAGGTGATGATAAATCAGACAGATAAGCTGGAATATCTAATGCGTTGTCATTCGCTAACGAAAAAAGGAATGTTCACATTATTTACGTGACACTATTAAATTATAATTCCAAAACAATGACTGTAATATTTTTGGGATACTGATAGAATCAAAAGTGCACACTGGTCCAATTTTTAGAATTCCAAAACAATGACAGCAATATTTTGAAAAAAAAAGTAGTAGATCTAATGGTTTTATAGAATTAGTGTACACTGTGCTCCAATTATTACAATTCCAAAACAAGAACTGTACTACATATTTTGGAGAAAGTGTTGAAACTAAGGGTGCAATATGTTCCAACGATTAGAATCCCAAAACAATGACTGCAATATTTTGAAAAAAGTAGTTCATCTAATGGTTTTACAGAATTAGTGCACACTGTGGTGCAATTATTACAATTCCAAAACAAGAACTGTAATATATTGGGGAAAGTGATGGAACTAAGGGTGTAATATGGTCCAACTACTAGAATCCCAAAACAATAACTGCAAAATTTCGAGGAAAGTAATCGATCTAAATATACACTGTGGCCCAATCATCAGAATTCCAAAACAACGACTGCAATATTTTGAGAATAATGGTAGTTCCAAGTGTACACTGTAGTCCAATTATCAGAATTCCAAAACAACGAAACCCGAGGTCGATGACTTCTGGGATCCAAGAACGGGACAATTGCCGGAGCGCCTCCGCCAATCCAGGGCATTTAAATGCGCGGGCACGTTCCTACCAGCGCGACTGAAAGAAATCGAGGTTAAACCGGCCGATACACACGCCAAGATGGCACTCGCGCAATCCCACGCTGTCGCGTATTCTTAAAAGTAGGCACGTGACATCCAGCAGCTACCTGGTCCCCATTGTGCAAGCACGCAGCCGGTGCTACGTTCGTTCTTAACACCAGAGGCTCAGACACGGTTTACTTAGGAGGGGAAGTCCCCAAGTATAATCGTCCCATCACTGACGAGGTATAAGAATAGACATTTTATTTTATGGGAGTTGGTGGCCCACCTAAACTGTAATACCGACACCTTAAAAAGCCTATGATTGTAGCGACCTCTACGTTTTGAGCACGGTGAATCTGCGGTGGGTAATGACACTAAAATGGAAATGGGGTACGTAACCCCAGAAAAGTGGGCCGCACAAATACATTGGATGAAATGTCTACTCCTATACCTCGTCTGTAATCCCATTTTAATCAGCTTTTGTAAGTTTGTAGTACATGATGCCTTTTTGAGCTGTCGTGACTTTGGGTGGAATCCTCTCAATTGGGATGCTATGTGATACCCTTGAGGATACCAGCAGCTAAATATGTACAGTACCGCTTAAAAGTATTCGTATACCCTTTAAGGGGACTTTCCTTTTCAAAATTGAAAAAAAAAGACACCTTTTTAATAGTAAAAATTCGTACGTAAATAAGTAAAAATTCAAACGGGATTCTATTCGTGAGACTTAAAACTAGACAAGAAACCACTAAAATATTTTATTTTTTGTATTTTTTATCGTTTTATACGTATTTTTCCGAAAAATTCGAAAAATCACTCTTTTTTGGGGGCAATTCACCCCTGTATAAAAAAGGGGGGGGGTAGTTTTATGAATTTTTAGAGGTTTATTGTCTAGTTTTAAGTCTCACGAATAGAATCCCGTTTGAATTTTTACTTAATTTTTTACAGGACGTCTGCAAAGTGTCGCACCGCTTAAAACGTGGCTTTTTGGAAGACGCCCTCTACAGCGGTCGTGGTGAACTAAAAGTGCTAGAAAAAATTTCTTTATGTTCTTAATAATATATATAATAGCGTCCAAAAGGAATTATGTTTCTAAATATAATAGTTTTTTTATAAAGAAATATTAAAAAAGTGTCTTTTTTTTTCAATTTTGAATGGGAAAGTCCCCTTAAAACGGAACAACTTTTTTAAAATTGATCCAAATGACTTGAGTTCTTTTGTGAAATTGGAGACATTAGTTTACTAAATGATGTGTAACAAAAAATCGAAAAATTTGCAATTGGTCGGAATCGCCAAGAAAATAGTAAAGGTCGTTTTTTACAACTTTTTAATCTGAGACTACAATGAAAATTTAATAAATACATATCGAAGATTTATGTTAATTATATAAATGTTGAAAATTTCATCAAAATCAAGTTGATACAGAAACGAGCGGCAGCCATCAAAAGATGTAGGAATTGTTAGATTTACTACAGTTTTAGGTCGAAAGTCGGGAAAAACTGTGATTTTCAACATTTTTAATCGTTTATATCTCGTAACAACGTTCACCGATTTTGATGAAATGTTCAACATGTATATAACTAACGAAGAACCGTGTTATACGAGGGTTCCCAATTTGTAAACCGCTATGTACTAAAACCCGTGTTATACGAGGGTTCCTATAATCTTTAGACCGTGCCGTTATCAAAACTATGGTTTCAAAGGACCGTGTTATACAAGGGCTTCCACAATTTTTGAAATTTTGAACCGTGTTTCAAAGTACCGTGTTATACGAGGGTTATTTGGTAATACCTTCTTATTTCATTAACTACGGCCACATTTCACGAAATACCATACAGCAATTTCATGACATCTACTCAGAGCGTGTTAGCGTCAATTATCATGAGGCGATTACGACAACTACATTAGAAGGCTCCGGTTCCCCTCGATTCTGCTTATCGCGAGGACGAGAAAGTGCACACACATCCTGGAGACGCTACTTTGCATTCCTCGTCGCCTCGGTGACCCGTTAACGAGAACACGCTCAGTAAAGTCACCTGTACTTATTCACACTTGACTCATCCGAGAGGTGGGCAATTCTGGGACGCACCTTATTGTTAGCACGCGAGACTGTAGTCACCGAAATGAAATGTCTGTCACATGGCCGTCGCCATGTTATCAGCGGGGGGGGGGGGGGGCAAAATTTATTTTAAGCTAAATGTCATATTATTTTAAATGGATTTTAGATTTATTTTTACATATAAAATATTTGTTACTGTAATATAATATTTTTGTTCCCTGGATGGTGGGGGGGGGGGCAAATTTAATTTAAGATAAATTGAAGATTACTTTAATAGAATTTAAACTTTATTTTTAGATACGAAATATTAGTTAATATAATATTTTTCTTTTGTGGGGAGGAGGGGAATCCAAATTTTTGCCTATAGGGTAGAGCAAATGCCATTTTTTTTCTTTTTAGAGACGGAGCAAGTATCCCTCTATGCCACCCCTTGGCTACGTTCATGGTAAACCCTCCTACGATTTTCGGGTCTATTGCGATCCAATCACGTACTTTCCTTCGTTTAACACAGTTACGAGTTTACACACATTTTAAGGTTGTCACTTCAGAAATTATTTTACTGTATTTGCATTGACATCCACCTGTTTAGATATCACTGATGTGTAATATGTTGATTTTCATGAAATTTAGGTT